TCCCTGTGGATACGAACCTTACTGCACTATACTACGTATTTGTGTTGTATTGATTATTTATTTTGAGTGCACCTAACGACGAGTGCACGTCAGCCTCCATAGTTAAAATAATAATAATTTGTTTACTACACTTCCATGATACTGCTCCTTCAGCTAACATGAACATACATCCATACATTGACTTTCTACTACCGACATATCCAGCAAAACCTGAATCTGAATATCCAATTACCTCAAGATGATCATCTCTTAAATGTATATAATGGAGTCTTTCATGATAAAATATACTCATTCTAAAAAATATCAATGAGGTCAGTGGATATCAACCATCAGCAAAACTCAAATAACATTACTTTGTGATGCTTTTGACATTTCTAGTTCCTTTAGGAACAATATTATCATCACTCATTTAATTCAATTTATATGGGATGAATAAATATTACATCAATGATTTCATATAGATATTGAGGGCTATTGCATCCCACTATCTCTCGTTCCTCCACTGAGACTAAATATATATAGGTCTATTGCATATACTATGCAGGATACTCTACATCTTCATTATGTTCTCTTCAAGCTAGGACTTCCGATTAGTCAAGCCATGAAATTATTGTGATGATACTTCAGCTGCTTAACTTGCGGTCAATCCCATTCAACATGCCTATAGTGATTACATTGATATTGACTGTCACTTCGACAATTCAAGAACTAGTGGTTTGTGGTATTCTTCTTGTTCGATATATTTCTACCCAGCTACAGTTGCAGTTATATTTTTCAAGAATTTATCTTCTCAGAGATTTCATTTCTCGCTTACTAGTCTGCATGTGTTCTCTCCTGCACAGATTGAAGTGGTGTAATACTGTACAATTATTCCATAAAAATATATTAGACATTAGCAGGAATTCCTATGTAATTTGAATTTCATTATTCCCTATGTATATGATAATCTAGGACCATCAATATGATAATAAACCTAAATATTATTCTCTCTAACTTGACTTTACACTATATTTAAACGAAATTTGGTTTTGCATTACATATTCGGAAGCGTATACAGTACAACTGGTTGCACAACTTGCTCCGTACAACTGGTGGCAATTTCATAATTTTGGTAAAAATTGTGTCTTCCCGTAAATGAACATTTCTGTATTTTTAGTGAGCATCATATCTATTTTACTAAGTATTGAAAGCCTAATGATGAACATCATGATATCGGCTACATATCTTATAATTGACTTTCTTTTTCTTATTTTTTTAAAATATCTACAATAAAATCGAATGAATCCAATATATGATTTATTGTAATATTATACTTTTAGAATATGCATGAATATGACATTTTATAGTGAGTATTACACCAATATCAAATGAGCAAACATGAATTACAAATGAGCATCGAATTAAAACTTCAAAAAACTCATTTAAAATCTCTACAACTCTACTATGCTCAAAATTATATTTGTGTATGCTCATATTAGTAAAACTAAGTATAGATTAGGTTTCTCCTAACCTGCGGCCAACAAACGAATAAATTCACCAAACCTGCGTAAGAAAAGAGAAAAAGGAAAAGAGTGCAAAGCAAGAGGGTGAGAAGAAAGGTAACTAGCCTTGGAGTATACACCCGGGGGAGCCGTTGTCTCTACACAAGCCGTCGCTACTGCGTTCGTGCTGGAGGAGAAGAGATCGTTGCGAGTGGCGAGTCATCATCGGTGTACGTCGCGCGAAGAAAGAACAATGAGTGAACTACGAAGTGCGATGGAAGCGAAGTGTGACGAGTTATTTTCACAATAATCCTCATCGGATGTCGGGATATGGAAGTCCCGGATATCGTCTCACGGGATGGTGTATATGGAAAATCAAGAGTGAAATCGATCTATAAATCTAACATGTAAGTTAGCCAAGTAGATGTATGTTTGATTTAGGAGAACAACTAACTTGCAATGAAAATAGATCACGATTAAACTAGGAGGAAAGCGGGGGCATACAAAGAACAACCTATGATTAAAGATAAGGGATCAAAATGGGGATACTTGGGAATATATCATGCAACAAAGGGATATGTACAAGTTTCCTTTCCACTCTCATGGTCAAGGGGATACTAAGGGCTCCTATTGGCCATTCTCATGGTCCAATAGAAATCCAAAGTCATGCAAAGAAGAGCAACCAACATTTTCCCCTTACCTTCTCCCATTCTCATGGCCGGAGAGGGGTAGTGTGTGTGTGAATGTGTCAAAAGGAACCCTACAAGTCTCCTTGAGAGTACAAACCAACATCTAAGAACATTGTGGCTATCAAAGTCTTAGAAATATAAAGAGCCATTTTCACAAACACATTGTGTGCATAATATATTTCTCAAATTCCCCCAAGACAAATCCCAAAACCTAACACATCACATGGTTGGATGTTCCTCAAACACCCCCAATCCCTAATACAACTACTCACTCATGCTAGATTTCATATTCATAAGAGAAATATTAGACATAGACATGGAGTGAGAAAAATGGATAAGATTGTAGAAATATTACAATGATGCAATCTAATGGATTAAATGAAAGTATAAAACTAGATTCAAGGTTTGATGCAAATAATATTAAAAAATGAGGTGCAAATGAGTTTAAGGAAGTTTACAACCAAAACTAGGGTTTGCAAGAAGAAAACTCGTCCAAAAACTGTGAAAGTTCGAACAAAGGGTGCTATTTATACATATGGGGAAATGGGGAAACGCCGGGAAGGAACTGCTTCCCGTTATGAGGAACGCCGGAGGGAACGCTGGGGGAACGTCGTTCCTCCTCGGCGTTCCTACCTTTACAAAATAAAATAGTCGGCTGGCAGAGAGTTTGACGCCGGGAGGACCAGAGTAGGGACATCATTCCTACAGGAACGCTGAGAGGAACGGCGTTCTCTTCCAGTGTTCCCGCACCTGGGACATTAAATATATTCAAATATAATTATAGTGACTTCATTAAATATAAGATCTTTCCAACGAGATATTAAACGCTTTCAACGGCACAAAATAGAGCAAGATATGATCGCATCAAATTCTACACGAGTTTGGAGTGAAATCAGAAACATTTATAATATATGGTTACTTTGTAACTTTTAATTAATGCATTGTAAATGAAGTTGGAACAATAGCTTTAGAGCTCCGATCTATCTTTCCAACGAGATATAATACGCTCCAAACCGATAAACACACAGCAAGATATGAGTGTCACAAATACTTAGCCTTATCTCTATGATTTAGCGTTTTCAGCGAAAATAGAGCACTTTTAGCGTAAATACAGTGTATTTTAGTAATTAGGCAATCATCCCTTGATATTTTGATACCAGCGCCTGAAGACAAGTTTTAGAACTCGGTAAGAGCTTTCCAACGAGATATTAAACGCTTTCAAGGGCACAAAATAGAGCAAGATATGATCACATCAAATTCTACACGAGTTCGAAGTGAAATCAGAAACATTTGTGAATATATGGTTAATCTGTAACTTTTAATTAATGAATTGTAAATGAAGTTGGAAACTTAGCTTTAGAGCTCCGATCTATCTTTCCAACGAGATATAATACGCTCCAAACGGATAAACACACAACAAGATATGAGTGTCACAAATACATAGCCTTATCTCTATGATTTAGCGTTTTCAGCGAAAATAGAGCACTTTTAGCGTAAATATATTGTATTTTAGTAATTAGGCAATCATACCTTGATATTTTGAAACCAGCGCCTGAACTCTATATTCAAATATAATTATAGTGACTTCATTCTTATTCATCGATGGTCTGACCTCCCTCGCAAAGCTCTTGCTTGCATAGGGTTTAGTTTTTCCGCAGCATAAGTGTGCGACCAGCTTTTTCCTTGCGATGGGGATAGAGAAGCTTGTTTCTTGGCTTTGGATTCTTGCTCAGTACTTAAGGTACAACAGTGACCAAACGAAGCTCTCCATAACTGTGTTCTTTGTGCTTGGAGCAAGGCTTGTAGCCGCGATGACGCCTGCAACGACATCCACTTCACTTGTGGTATCACCGACAATGACTACAACATCATCTGTTTTGGCCTTCCATCTTTTGGTCTTGGAGGAAGAAGATGAAATGTTGATGATCTTGCCTCCTCCTGAGCCGCCGCCATGGAGAGAACGAGTGATTAGGGTTTGCTTTAGTTTTATTTCAAGTTTTATTTTTATTTTCGATAGACTATTAATCTTTTTTCGGATGGTTTGTTTTAGTGTCAGTCTTGAGTTATCTAGTTTAGCAATGATCGCAAATATTGAGATGTTTATAACCATTAATTGCTTCGAAGTTCCCGTATGTTCAGCGAAAAGTCAATTTTGTGTGAACTTTTCTAGGTCTGGTCAAGATAAGAGGTCCTTTTGACTATTATGAGTCTAGTAAACTGGTAAAGAGTACAGTAACTTAAAGGTCAGAAAGAACTCTAGCTATATTGTCCATTTGCTGATTAGCAATTCACGTTGTTGTTTTTCAGAGGTGACTAACGTCTCAGAGTCTGATTGTGAGGGCGTTTCTTGAGTTTAGATGAAGTTTGATAGAAGATAAGTGGTGAATTTTGAGCTATTGGCTTATTGCAATTCTTGATTCGTTTGATATTTTAATATAAGATTTTCATTCTTTAAAAAAAATCAGTATCCATATTTTGATAATCATTATGAAATAATTTCATAACTTATATGCATATTCTGCTTAAATTATGAGGTAGATGATGAGAAAGACTGATGAGTGGAAAATGATGAACTCGGTTGCTAATATCTAACCACCGCGTTTTGGGTGCTAAATTTTCATCTTCGCTAATCCATTTTAATTAGGCTTCTCCCTCTTTTCTTCATAATTTTGACATATTTCCTTTTCTTATTGTCTAAAAATTTGGTTATTTTTTTCTTTAATTAAGTAATTAATTTGTGACGCCTCTTATTTCTTTATCCTTTACACAAACTTTAATCTCATAATTTTTTATATTATTTTCATTCTGGTTAAACTTTGCAATGTTATTAGAGATGAAGGAAGCAACACAATGGTTGTCCAGCTCAAGGTTGCACGACATAAAAAGGAAGTTTCATTTTGAGATAAATATTGTGTACAATTGAGAATAGTTATACATTCATATAACAATCGTAACACAATTAATCTTCCAAACAAATAATGAATTATGCCAAGTAGCAGATGGCGGGCATGAAGAATCAGATCACTTGATCAAGATGCACCTGGCGGGCGATCCATCTAAGGTCACCAACCTCAATGGGAGACAATGAATTGTGTATACTCCAGGAACTACTTCGTCCAGTTTTAAATCCTCCACTGGAATTATATCCTGCATCATTTCAAACAAATAATGTACACTAGTTATATCCATTGTAATTATAATAAGGTTTGGACTTATAATAAATTTACATTAATTTATAAGAGATTGCTCCAAATATGAGTAACTATGTTTAATATCTAAAATAGTGTTTATTTGATTATATTAAAAACATAAAATTTCATAAAATAGGAATGAATGTGTCTGTATTTTTAAGATAAAAGTTTATGATAACCATATTGGAACATTTAGCATGCTTCACTCATGTTTAAGAAATTTTCTTATAATTTATAGATGCAAACTGAACTACCAACCTTAGCATTTAGGAACGTCCGATGGACCCCCTTAAGTTCATCTAATACTCCAGTAGCGATAGATAGGTAATCGATGCCTGCAATTTCAAAACATTAGATGGAAGCTTTTATTACTAAGTAGCATCGAAGTATCAGGTTGAACTTGAAAATTAAACATAAAATAATAAGTGTATGTTTGACAAAACTAACCGAAAATTAATATTTTTTAAGTTTTTTTAGTAAATGTTAGTACATGAAAAGTCATCATTAAAAGGAAAATGTTAATTATAGCCGTTGTTAAAAACTACTGATTGATGTTGTTTGGTATAGTAAACTCTTAACTAAATAAACTCTAAAGTGTTGAAAGCCTTCCCAAAAATGATCTTAAAATTTAGAAACAGTTGCGTCAACTATGAGCTTTTAGAGATTTTTCAATCATTGTAAAAATTACTCCGCATAAATCAAAGACTTATGTCCGCACAACATGCACTAAATCCATACATAAGATAATGGGTCACTCGTGTTTAACTAATAAAATTTCAATATGATATTAGAGTGAAATTGATTGGGCTTACCAACAAGTTTGATATCGGTGTTCTCGACCAAATATTGGGCTCCGTCCGTGGTGAAGCCGGTGTAAGAGGGATCAAATGAAGATTGACTCATTAGATTCCGGTCTGTGTTGAGTGTTTTGAATATCACGCGCTTCACTCCTCTTGGTATATTCAATGATTTCATAACCTCGGCTGCATATCATCATATACATTAACTAAACTCTTCACCATTGTCCATTGATGATGTCATTATTGATCATCAAATATTACGATGTTTTTACTTGGACTGGAATTTGCCGGTCTGGTCTGTTTAATTCTGATTTAGTGTGGTATAAGACTCAAAACAATCCAAGTAAAAACATCCATCTACTCCGTACTATACTTACACATTATTGTGGTGCGCTAAACATGAAAAATGAAAAAAAAAATCGACCAAAATATTAGATCTAATGTAGATCTTCTCATGGATGTTATTATTAATCTACTTCTGATAACACAATGTTAAAAAATTAATTAAACTTCAAGTACATGTACCTACCAGTGATATTTTTATCCCGGGGAGTGTCAACCACCAAAACTGGGCCTGCACATTGCCAACCATTAGCCTGTCTTGATAAACACCAGACAATACAACACTCTCATATGGTCAACCATAAGGTTTGACTTAATTATCCCAGAAAATAAGACATTTTCGTGTTAAGAGAACAAAAGGCTCTACTCACTGTTGTCTATCATATTGCATAAGCGAAAGAAAAAAAAATCTACATAATTTATGTGTCTCATCACAGCATATAAACATGGAACACCAAGAGTTATATAGTACAAATACAAGAATTATATTAAACTGAACTTGAGGAATATGTCGGGTTTTTTTTTTTTTGAGAATAGGAAAATGTCGAGTTAGAATACATTTTTAAAAAAGTTTACATTACAAGGTTCTCAAATTTGAAAAAAATATGAAAAATTTGTCATTAATCAAATTTGGTTACCATTTAAAGTTCGCAGATCAAGAGAATTAACATCATATCCTTCATCCATTAGCGTCTGGTTGAAGTGGCCGGGAGCGTCGCAATGGGTGCCGGAGTGGGTGTTAAGGGTGAAGGTTGCGGAGTTTGAAAAGGCTTTATCATCAGTTTTCATGCTGGACACAGATTTGAAGAACGGCTGAAGCCCATGAGGGCCGCCGTAGAAGTACGGCATTCCGACGACGTACTTGTGGCTGATGTCAATTATGGTCTTATTCGAGAACACGCTCTCCTCCCATTGAAGGGAGGCTAGCTGGTCGGCGGTGACCACATCTGCCCACGCGCTGCCGCACGCCCATGTCAGCGCCACCAGCACCAAACAGGGCACAACCCTTTGGTTCTTCATCATTGTGGCCGGCCCGGGATCGAACTAGTATTATTTATTTTCCCACCACAAACTCCCAGATTATTTCTTATTAATATATCTAGGAGCTTGATGTTCTTGGAATGGACTTAAGGGGTTGTTTATATATGCTTCTTGGTGGTGGATTCAAACGGACGGCCGTCAATTGAGGAGGTTAGTTGTCAAACTATGGCCTGGGTCCACCCCTCTATTTACGTATCTTGTGAGGAGGAGGAGGATTCAGCTTCAGTCACAAATCAAGACCGGTTATATTTTGAGATGTTAACTTTTTATTTTTCATTTTAGCAAATAACATTATTAGTAAACATTATAAAAATTGTTGGAACTTTAATTCTTGGAACAGTTTGACTTTCCTGTTTGCCAACACACAACTTTGACTGTAATTATATTTAATTATGTATTAGTAAACATTATAAAAATATGATATTTTGGAAATTCACATTGGAAGGAATTTAATAACATTTTATACGTAATAATTTGATTATGCATATTAGTAGAAAATCGTGGTCAAAGTAAGATTTGTGAATAGTGCAAAAATCACAATGTTGCAAGAATTAAAGAACGAATGAAGTATTTATTAATAACAAAAATGATCAGTACAAAAGTAATTCTGATAGCCTAAGCTACAATGAGATGGGACGTAGAATTGAATATTTTCAAAGGAACATAACAATTTGTTAACCCCGCAAAGATGTGGACTCCTCTATCAACATAGAAGCTCCTGTTACTTCACCAATAATCAATACTAGAAAAAGTACTAATCTGCAACAAAAAACAAACATATAAACGGCAGGGCCGTGCCGTGTGTGAGGCAGATGAGGCACTTGCCTCAGGGCCCAAAAAATGTTAAAATTTTAGGGCCCAAAATTTTAGATATTTCTATAGTATATATATGTATTAAATTTACATATTGGGCTTCCTTTGACCTTTGCCAAACCTTTGTCCGCTGCTGTACTTCAAAAAGGAAAACCCCCAAATTCCCCAACTATCTTTGTTCGGCCAGTTTAGAAACGAAATAGCCATCAGCCCACAAATGGAAGAAGAAGGATCTTAAGGTGATTTGCGATTCCCTTGTTCCGGCCTTAGACGAATCGATCAACAACAGGACCTTAGCTAAGGTACGTTAATTTGTGATTCCCTTGTTCATGTCTATAGACATAATCGATCAACATCAAGGTTAATCTTTCTTCTTTGCTTAGCTTCTAAATTTCTAATATTTTTCTATTTAAAGCCTTAAAAGGATTTATAGCTACCAAAATACAAATATATCTTATTATGTGATTGTGATTAAGTTGCTATGATTATGTGAATATGTGATTATGTGTATTCTGATTTTTTGTGTTAGAAACTTGAGATTTGAGAATTGAGAATTGGTTGGTGAAGAATCAATTTTATTATTAATCAATAATCATATATTCCGTATGAAATAACTAATAAGTTAAGATTTTTATGATTTATTTCATTTATGTGTTTAGCTTTCAAACTAGTAAAGCCATTTATTATTGCAGCTAAAAATGTCCGACGAGTTGTATTTAATTAGTTATTTGAATACTTTGACAGTGATGTAATTTTTATTTAATTAGTCGTTTTTATGATGTTTAATTTTCAATTTCAAAGAAAATTATAGTAAAATATATATAATGCATAGGGCCTTTTATGAAGTTTTACTCAGGCTCGAGTTTTGGTAGGATCGGCACTGATAAACGGTTTCAGCATCCACCGACAAGGAAATAATAGAGAATCTGGTTTGTCCAGTCACCAGAAAGAAATAACTAGAATCCTCAGTTTGACCAGCTACTGGAAAGAAATTGCAAATATCATCGATTTGACTAGCCACAAAAAAGAAGATCTAATCGAACGTTACCTTTCTCTCATAGCACGACAGTGATTCAGGACGAGGGCAAATAACTACAATAAAATGTCGACGTCCGATCGGTTTTGAGGAATACATATATTAACCCTAGACACTGCTAGGAAAAAACTACATAAAATAACTTGAAAATATTTATGAAAGAGATAAATTTCCATCTTTAAAAGGAGAAACTGATTGAGAAGAAGAGAAGAGGGGGACATGGCTAGGGTTTACCTTCACCGCTCCCCAACTTGCCCTATGCTCTCTCAGATTACGTATGTATCGAAATAACTTCTAATAGTTTGATTGAAGTGTAATTTAACAAACTTTGTTCCTATAATATATTAATGCATGGATAGTGTTTATAGCATGTAAAGTTGAGCTGAGACAATTACATTGCACAATTAAGAGATGATATTGTGACTAGTTTCTAGCGAAATATACAAAATTTACTGAATTTATTATAAAAAGTATAGACAGGATTTGGGTAATAAATGAGTGACTACAAGGACAATCTTTTTATTATGTAAGGTTGATCTGATTTGTTGAGATTAGTTAATATATTTATGTTAATTATGTGAGGTTGATCTAGTTTGTTGAGATAAGTTAATGTATTTGAGTTTAATCTAATTTAACTTCGTTTGAAATTAAAATAAATTTAACATGTCTTCCTTTTAAAGTTAAAATCCTGATCTAAACTAGTTTCATGTAGTATGACTGTATGAGTGTATGACTCGTTCAAGATCAGTTTTGTCAGAATTGACCTAGCTTAATCGATCTATTTCAAACTGCTTTATTTGGCATTTGGGACTCAAGTCAAATGTCTACTCAAATATCTGGTGACGCTTGTCCACTTCCTTGGCAAAAAAGGTCCGATGAAGCTTCTGCAATGGTGTAATGTTAAACAAACGCCGGATTTCGGACCGATGAGGCCGAGGGTCAGTTTTGGACCTTTGGTGACCCTTTCCTCTAATCCAAACGCCGGATTTCAGACCGATGAGGCCAAGGGTCGGTTTTGAAGGCCGGCACAAAGCTGATGCATATTGACCGCTATCAAAACCCAAGAGTTTTCACATTTTGGGATAGAAGAAACATTGAAATACTCCGTAATATATAAGCCATGTTGCAATTATGTCTGTTCACAAGAATGTAGCATGACATTTATTCGGGTACATGAATGGCCATATCAGGAAAAATGGTTAGAGAAGCATTACTAAACAACAAGTTTCATCATATTTCCAACACTTCCTTTTATTAGGGCTGACCCGAGAAGTAGAGACAGCTGCCATTGAATGAGTGGCATCCCTCAAGTATAAGGACATGGCCCGAGAAGTAGAGGCAGCTGCCATTGAAGTCTCACTACTATAGTGAGACTTCAATACAAATCCTTTAACCAGAAGCGCATTGCTATTTGCTAAGTAGTACTGTAATATATAGAGTTCAAGACATAAATAAGGCCGGCCTTAGTCTAGCTTTAGTTGATGAGGATGCATCTGATGGGAGATCCTTCAGCACCCACCAACCTCAAGGGTAAGCAATGAACCTTATATATCCCAACCTTAACTCCTTCCAAATTCAGACCTTCCACTAGTACAATTTCCTACACCATTTAAAATTATAAATGTTATACTAAGGGTATATCCAATTACTGAGAACCAAATGAACCTCAATTAACAAGAAAATATTGATCTTACAAAATTTGTACACAAAATATTATAATACAATCAAAAGTCAAAAGTCTGTGAATGAAAATTTAGAAATTAAAATTTCCCAATAATTTTTGCTTTTGATTATGCTTTTGTAGTCCCTTGCAGCTTGTGCACCTCATTGTTTACCAATACTGACTTGGTCATATATGCTCTGATTTTTTAATATTGAAAAAGAACTAGATGGCGTATATTTTAGCAAAAGTTGCTGAAGATCATTGATTTAAAATTTTTATTCATCTCTTTTCATTGATAAAATATAATCAGATCTTTTATCAAATTTCAATCATTTCTGCCAAACTTAGGAAATTTCAACACATATAACCGCTACAGTCATGTTTAGCCTTACCAAATAGACACTAAACCGCTAACTAGTAACTACCAGTGAGTTTCAATGGAATAAAGAAACTTTCAAGGAACCAAGTGTTTGTCCAAACGATACAGTGACCAACGAACTTACCCTGTTCTTAAGAAATACTAGATGCGCAGTGATGATTTCATCAAATGCAGCAACAGATAAGTAATCTATTCCTGCAATTCAATAATAAAGACATGTATAGCCTTTATTACAAATGTGATGATGATGATGATGACAATATAATAGTAATAAAACAATAATAATAACAGTAAAACATATAATTACATGTGTGAGGGCCAAATGGCCCATGATAGTACCATAAATTTAGTGTGGTTTAGTAACTCATTTACTGGCTAATCAGACTTATCATCCAGATTTTTCTAAATACGAATTATTTTATTTTATGCTCTGAATATGGTAATAATCAAATTAAATAAAGTTGAAGGTATTTTTCTCTTTCACTTTGATGATAACAAATTAAGGACAAGTAAGCTTTTCTTTTAGTTTTAAACTCCCTTTCCTTTACTTAATATAATATATGTTTTGAACATACGTATTTCACATTTCAGTCAATTCTATCAGACTTTCACAACCACAACTTAAAAAATTCAGGCTTTCAATTTTATTCGTGAAAACAGGCTCTTAGTTTACTCACCAACAAGTTTAATATCAGTGTTGTCCACAAGCCACTGAGCACCATCCTTCATAAATCCCACATAGCTGGTGTCAAACCCCTTCTTCAACATCAGATGCCTGAAATTATATCCAACTTTGTTTCACTCTCTTTCATAGTTTAATCATTGTACAATTACGGAATACATGTATATTACTCTCAAATACCTACCTGTCTGTGTTCAGTGTTCTAAACAGCACTCTCTTCACCCCCTTGGGTATATTTAGCCCCCTCATCACTTCAGCTAATTGAAACAAATGGATTTCATAAAGATCTCAGCTTTAAAAGTTGGCAACTATACTTCTTTGGTTTCATACATAACCCAATTTCCATTTCATAGGAAATTTGTTAAGAAATGTTAGCCCTAACTCAACCACGCCAATAATTTACACCAATATTTGAAGGGATCAATATATGATTCTTCAACGCCTTTAATTCCACCACAATGATAAAAAGAACTCACATACTGCATGCACATATTTCTTGGATTAAAGCATACCAGTTATGTTCTTGTCCCTGGGAACATCCACCACCAATGCAGGGCCTGCCAAAACACAAAGAAATTAAACAAATACAGAGATGCTAATATACTACTCCGCTATACTAAGTTTTGACAACTTCCATTTTTAAGCCGTCCCAAAATACTTTTTCTTTTTCAAGGAACAAGTTTGTGGTTAACGTTATTTTTCTCTCCTCTACATAAACCTTCACCACACACTTTTTACTTTCTTCCACGTACTAGTCAACTTTGGCCGAGTTTTATAGGAGATGGGGAGTATTAAATACTCTCTCTGTCTCCATCCTTCAAAGAAGTTTTTAGTTTGACCTTCACCATTTAAGAAAAAACTTTACCAAATTAAGAAAAAACTTTATTAAAGAACGTCCCAAAAAGAATACATGAGCTCTACATAGAGACGAAAGTAGTATCATGTATTAGCATACTGGCTCTAACTCATTCTAAGAGAATCATCAAAAGATAAGGTCTCATGGTCAAGTTATTCCACGCCCTTAGATTATAAAGCTTCCTACACAGACATGCATGACTCGTGTGAGAAAAGAACTAATAATCAATAAATTACCATAAAAACAAACACTAATATCCTACTCCGTATTAAATTGCACCTAAGACGCCAAAAAAGATTCTCAAAAGGTGAGATTAATCCATGCTTTACACTCCAATAACAAGCTATAGTAAAGTTCAAAACTAAATAAAGAAGAGATGAATACACTAAACAGAGGATTAATAAGAAGTACTCAGGAATTTAGTACCATTGAGGACTCTAAGGTCAAGAGTATCAACATCAAACCCTTGATCGAAGTAATTATCATACATATGCCCAGGAGCATCGACATGAGTACCGGCATGAACACACAACCTCAACTCCGACAAGTTGTAATCAGAACCGTTCTTCATGCTCATCAGTAAACTGAGATACTGTCCGATGCCGTCATCCGAGTTCCCAGAGGGCGTGTTTGGAGTGAAGGGATGAGTGATATCGATTATCTCTCCACCTTCGGACACTTCCTTCCTCAGTGGATTGCTGGATACGAGACAAAATTCCGGCGATTCATCACCATATCCGAGTGGATATGCAGCAGCATCCGTAGATGCCGTAGCAACATATAGCAGACTGAGTAGCAGTAGCTTAGCTGAAGTCTTCATACTTATTACCAGAAGCTAATGGACTGTCGAAGCTTTCCGGCTAAAACTCTTTTTGAAGCTCTTACAGCATCTACTATGTTGGTTCCAGTACTTATTTTCAATTTTAAAACTACTAACCTATCTTTTGCTTGAAAAAGGTAATTAGCTTAAATGAGCTACTACCTTGAACAAAGAGACTTATTAAATACGGAGTATAGTATTATAAATAATGAATGAAGATGAAAATGTTATAGCTAACCATTGAAGTATATTTCAATTCTGCTACAAATGCTTATGTGGTTGGTAAAGCTATGAGTGCTCTTATCTCATTGGAATAAATAATGCGAGTACTCCTTACGTCCCTGAATAAAACTATCTTTCCGAATATCAGAGATCATAAAGTGCTAAGTAAGATCAGGTAAAAATTTCAGCAAAGTAATAGTAAGTTTTGCACAAAGAATTTTGATTCACTTTCCACAACTGGAAGGAAATATCTATACGAAAACATAAATACTCGGCCAACAAGTAAATAAGATGCTATTCTATTGTGGTGAAGGCACGTGTCACACTTGTCTAACAGAATAAATGTACTAGTCTAATAAGAAGGTGACACATGTAAAAGGTGATTGGAGACAGTTAGCTGATTGGCGTTGTTTATAATTGATTTTGTCCTTTGTGTACCAGAACATGTGTGCGTGCTACACACGTGTCATCTAGAATATTCTCAACTCTAACTTTAGGAGTGATGTGACGTCTGTATAGTGTCGGTGACGTGGTTGTAGCTTGTGCAGTACATTGATCGCTGAAATGTTTATGCACATACTCATTTAGTGAGACCCCGAGCTCCGTGAGGTCAGAGCTCAGTGGGGTGCCCTCATATTTAGCCTTATCTGGGCAATTTGCGAGCTCGGTGGGGTGCCGACCTCGATGGGTTGTGGTCCGCCTCGATTGGAGTTCCATTCCTTTTTTATTTGTTGTCTTGTACCGTGACCCAACCTCGATCCTCGAGGTCGGCCTCGGCTGGAAGTTCATACTGGTCACTGATGTGATCTTGGAGCCTTTGTCCGTTTGATTATGATACCCTTGAGTTATATGAGAACATACTCCATCAATGATAAAGGAAGTGAGAGGGGTTAAACGTAGGTATGGACAAAACGGTTTTCGGTTCATTTTTTTATTTCGATTTGTTTGGTTTGAAGAAAGTTGTACCAAAGTGTAATCAAATGTATTTCGGATTAGTTTGTATTCAGTTCGAGAAATGTTCATTTTCGTTTGATTTGTAGTTCGGTTTATAAATTAGAAAATGATAATGTGTGGTTTCATATTTTGAAGTCAACTTTTATTTATTTTAAATGATTTGTTTCATTAAAACAACCCAAATAAACTGCTAAAATTGAAATTGAAATAAAATATTAGTTAAATAAACAAAATAGTGATTCAAGTTTGGTGTGCTGTGCAAAACAACACTGGTTTAGAAGTAATGTGCAAACATATACAAAATATAAGTAGTGGTTTACAATTTTACATGTTCGGTGCAATGTGCAAAATAGTAATCGTTCAATAGGAGTGAGTTAGGACACTCACTACAAATAGCCAAACATACAACCTAGCTCAATAGTTCATTGTGCATGCATACAATAGGCAAACACACCGTCTGCACAAACATAAAGTGTACAACACATGTAGTGAAACACACTTTTGGCACATCGCATATTTTTCGCTTGTAGAAATCATTACATGAGAAAAATTGGTACGTTTCTCTACTTTTCATGAAACTATGACAACATTGTGGAAACTTGTCAACAGTGTTACCATAATCTGTTGGAATAAATCCATGAATACCTTAATCTTCATATTGGAGTTATCTAGAAAAATAACTTAGCGGAAGCGTACCTAACTTTATCGGAGATGATCTTTAGAGATCCGGAAGACAGAGGCTAGGGTTTGCGTCTTCTAGTTGATGCACATCCTCGAGATTATCTCTCTAGCGATGGGATGCAGAAAGACGGAATGAAGTGTTCAACTAGGTACCATAACTCCACTATTTATAGAGAATGCTTAACCCTAATCAGCCCATCATTAATTAGGTTAAGCCCATGGGTCTCCACACATTTGGGTCCTATACCTTATTAGATAACATATTAGCCCACTTAAATTAATATCCATAGGACCACTAATTTTTTGGCCTAAATATAAGATAACATATAACATACAATTAAACCCAATAAATAATATATTGTGAATATTACATGTAGTATGAGTCCAATCATCTAACAATCTCCCACTTGGACGGCATACACATGTATACACAATCCTTAGCATTGTATGTTTACTTTAGGAGCTCCAAAATTTTGCTATCAAACTGTAGTCATCTTTAATCAATCCGTCCCATTAATTATATCAACATAGGACCAAAGAAATCTTTGCTATATTTGAATAAATGATCACATACATTAATATAATAAACAACACGGATCAAGTATAGGTGTGTAGCATGGAAAAAACATGAAGTGTGGACTGAAATAGAATGTCTATTTCTTAGTGGTCCACCTTGAGATCAATAATATAACTGTAATAGTACATAAAACTTTAAACTTTATTTCTGTAGAAAATAACCTTAAAATTTTGAATTAACCAAATATAGAAACATTATAAACTCCCACTAAAACTCATAATCCTCAACTGATTTGACACCCATTTGAGCAACATGCTCATGAAACACTTTGGGTGACGATCCTTTAGTGAGAGGATCCGCAATCATGAAGTTTGTGCTAATGTGTTCCATAGATAACTTTCATTCTTGTACTCATTCCTTAACAACCTTAAATTTGACCCCAATGTGTTTTGCCTTGGTCAAACTACTGTTGTTCTTAGCATAGAGGACTCATGACCTATTGTCACACAATAGCTTAAGTGGTCTTTCAATGTTATCCACTATGCGCAGTCCACTAACAAAATTTCGTAGCCATAATGCTTGATTGGATGCCTCATAACATGCTATAAGCTCTGTTTCCATAGTGGAAGTAGCTGTAAGAGTCTGCTTGATACTCCTCCACGAGATAGCTCCTCCAGCTAGAATATAGATGTAGCCTGAAGTGGATTTCAAGCTATCTTGACATCCAGCAAAATCAGAGTCGGTATACCCAATGATATCAAGCTGATCCGATCTCCTATATGTGAGCATATATTCCTTTGTTCTCTGTAAATACTGCATGACCCTTTTGGCCGTTTTCCTGTGGTCCATTCTCGGATTGCTCAAATATTTGCCTAACATCCCAACGATGTATGCTCAAATAATGTATTCCTAACATCTTCGCCAGAGGACCAGAAGATATGTCGGGCATAGACCCGGAAATTATTTGTCATCAGTTAGCCGTCCAGCCGGACGTTAAACCTTTCCAGCAGAAGAAGCGCTACCAGGCGGCCGAATTGTGAGATTTTACCAAACAGGAGGTGGCCACACTACTCAAAATCAAGCACATCAGGCCGGTAATCCACGTGGAGTGGTTGTCTAATGTAGTCCTCACCCCGAAGGGGCCAACTTGGAGGATGTGCGTTGACTATTCCGATCTGAACAGAAATGCCCCGTGGATCCTTATCTTGTCCCTCAGATCGATTTGCTGGTGGACGAGACCGCCGGGTGTGAACTATTGAGCTTCATGGACGCATTTCAGGGGTATCACCAGATCTTTATGCACCCGGCTGATGCGGAGAAAATAGCATTCGTCACCTCGGACGGGGTGTTTTGCTACATTGTGATGTCGTTCGGGTTGAAGAATGTTATGGCCACATTCCAAAGGATGATCAGGATGTTGTTCAAAGAAGTTTTGGGAATCACCATGGAGGCTTATGTGTATGATATCCTAATCAAAAGCAGGAAGAAAGAGGATCATGTTCGGGATATGGAAAAAGTCTTTGGAATCACGAGGAAGGTTAACATGAGACTGAATCCCAAGAAGTGTGCCTTTGTAGTCAAGGGGGCAAATTCTTGAGATACATGATGAGTGAACGGGGGATTGAACCCAATCCCGAGAAAATAAAGGCAATCATGGACATGGAAGCATCCAGGAACCTGAAGGAGGTTCAAAGGTTAACTGGCCGGCTGGCAGCATTGAGCAGATTCCTTTCAAAACTGGCCGACTGGGCGATTCCATTTTTCTAAATCATGAAAAAGGCCAACCCATTCGAGTGGACAGCAGAGTGTCAAACGGCCTTTTAAGATTTCAAAATCTACCTATTTTACCCCTGGTCCTAACCAAGGCTAATCCAGGGGAGCATTTGTATATGTATCTCGCAATGGTCGATCTTGTTGTTAGTTCGGTACTGTTGAAGGAGATCGACGAGTTCAGTGGCTGATCGACGGCATTTGTATACTGTTGAACGGCCCTGAAACACGGTACACCTTGATGGAGAAGACCATTCTAGCCTTGATAGCTGCTATCAAACGTCTGGCACCGTACTTTCAGGCTCGCTCATCTAGTAATTGTTTTTACCACTCAGCCACTCACCACCATCCTGAGAAACCCGATTGCCAGTGGACGCATCACCAAGTGGTCACTCCTGATCGGGCAGTATGAGGTAGACTTCAGGCCGCGACCTACCATTAAAGGTCAGGCCTTGGCAGACTTTATTGCAAAATGCACCGCTCGTCCTACGGAGGATAGCTCGAACGGTGCTTCCACAGACAACTGGTGGGAAATGTACGTTGATGGGGCATCTAGTGCCAAAGGCTGTGGAGGCGGAGCAGTCATCACATCTCCGGAAGGGTTCAAGGCATACTACTCAATTCACTTTGATTTTAAGGTAAATAATAATGAGGCCGAATATGAGGCCCTTACTACAGGTTTAAAGTATGCCAGGGCCCTGGGTGCCGATCAGCTGAAGGTTCGTTCGGATAGCCAGCTAGTGATTGTCCAGGTGAATGGAACGGCCGAAGCAAAAGAGGAAAGAATGAAAGCCTACAAGGAACTGGTCGAGGAACAAATCGGAAAATTTGAATAAGTAGTCCTCGATCAGGTTTCCCGAATAGAAAATGTTGAGGCAAATGTTCTATCAAAGCTCGAGAATGTCGCGCTGGATGATTAGGCTCAGCTCATCCCTGCACACATCCAGCGATTTGCCACCGGGAGACGTTGACTACACCAGCTACCATGGTCCTTCGGGTGGAGGCTATATCATATGTCGTTCCTAGTTGGGTCATAGACATGACCAACTACCTGAAGGATGGATCCCTCCCAACAGACAAGAACTCAACATACAACGCCACATGCATTAAGAGGAGGGTCGTGATGTTCGAGCTTGTGGATGGGCAGTTATACAAGAAGACATTAGGGGGCCATAATTAAAAT